TATGATACTCATTTTTACAAATGTGATAATATTTACACTTTAAATAGATTATATATGTATAAAAGTTGTTTATTAATTTTTATTAATTTTATTTGTTATTATTTTAAATTGTCATAGAGTATTAACATTTTAAAAATAATGGCAATGATCTTAATTTTTTTTTGTTTTTTATATAAGTACTTTAAGTATTTAAAATGATTTATGCAAAGTTTTATTGCGATGCAGAGATTAATTGTTCTGTAAACAAATAATTTTATTTATAGAACAACTAATCTCTGCATTCGAATGAAACTTTATATAAATCATCTTAAATACTTAAAGTACTTATATAAAAAACAAAATTTTTTTAGATTTATTTTTATATTTACCATAAAGATCTTTATGATCTAAAATAATTTGTAATTTTTTGGGAATTTTTTCACTATTTTGTAAATATGCGTAATGCAGCCTTAGCTCGCGTTGAATAATCTTCCGCTTCGTTTCACAATGTACTAAGCAATACGTACCAACACGTTGAAAAGATTTCGTGTAACGACAGTTTGTGGCGTGCACAGAACTTTCTTATATTCTTAACCGTCCTACGAGTACCCTGGGCAAGTACTTAACGTCGAACAATCGTTAGGCATTCAGGTACTTGATTTCTCTTCGAGCGGAAACTTTTGCAGCCACTGTTGTCATAGGGTTGAGGGATATTAACGAAAACTTTCGCAAATTTATGGAAAGTTTACGATGGCGCGGTATCGAGTGCAATGCAATGTCGAGCTAAATTGTAACTTCCATTACACGGGATTACGTTAAGTTACATCAAGAGTGTCGCAACTTTCTTGATACAACGTATTCCTCGTCAGTGATAATGGAAGCGAGCTGACGTATATTACTTACCGTACTTCATTAAATTTCTATTCAGCAAACAGCGTGTGCATCGTTTCTAAGGGGATGAAAAATAAAAGAACTTTCACCTTTTATCGTTCAAGAAAATTCTATGAAATCATATCGGAGATAAATCGAGATCGTGTTGTCGTAGCTCGATATAATTGACACTCCTGTCAATAATGTGCCGGAAACGATCTGTCATTTCCGCGATAATCCAGTCAGAAGATCGCCATTAACCTATATATTAATGCGTCCCTCGGTGTCGTTAATTAGCCCCTTACAATTCGATCATTAAATTCCGTGTCGTTATCGCGAATTCTATTGACCAGGTCGCCGATAATGTTGGGTGCCACGTGTGCAGTTTCTCACGATTCTGTTATAAATTGCTGTAGCCGTTGTAATATTTTCTTCGTAACTAATTAACATTCGCATAACAACATATCATCGTAATAATGGCCACGAAACGCTGTCTGCAGTAGTTGTATTCCAGCGTATCGCGCGTTCCTCATATACATCCAGAAACAAATGCGGCAACGGGATAACGAAGTTCCCCATAAAAGAGGAACAACGATCGACAAAATCCAATGCCCCGGTACTCGCTGCAACACGGTTTCGTTCCGTCGTGCACGAACGAGATTAATTAGTCGGACACACTTTTTGGGCGAAATCCCGTTTCTCGTTAGTCTTCATTAGCCACACAACAACGACGACAATGCCGCTATCCATAACGCGCCGGAATAAACGTACATTAGAGAGAGCGTTCGACCGGTTTTTTAGGCCAATCGATCTCATAAGCCTATTTTCTCTGATATTGAGAATCCGCGCGCGGACGAATTCGATTAAAACACGCGTTAATCGACGTCGAAAGAGAATCACGTCACTCAGTTCCGTGATCTAGGACAAATGGCAAAACATACAAAACCGACAGGACCGCATTTAATATCTCGTCGCGAATAAACGGACGACCGCCGCAAGATCACGTGCGAAGATCACGACGCAAGATAGCGATTAATACAGTGGTGTTGAAAATTCAATTCTCCGATGAAATTAATTAACTTTATTCTCCAAAGGGAGAATCACCGAAGCGCCCCTTTTTCCCGCCACTCTCCCACCGTTCTGTCTTATCCCCTTCGTTCTCCATTTCGCGATAACGTGTAAAAGTAGCTAGAAGCGCAAGAGCTTTAATGATACTACGGCATCGATTTTCGATTGGCGAGAATGACATCCTCAAAACCTTCGACAATACCGATACCGCTTTCTCGTAACGACTCTGAGAGAACATTAATGATGCCAACACATTGCTTTCACGAGTACCTTCGCGAGTATCAATTGCTACAGGTTGTCTCGCAGGTCATCTAATATTCGATTTACCTACGCCGAACGTATAGTTTGCGTGACAACGTAAAGGATACCGCAGCCATTTATTAGTACGGCTCTCGAGAGGAATAAGAATATCCTTTTCGCTTAGTCTTCGCTATCATACGACATCCGAAAACTGAATAAGCCGCTACGCTAAATAAATATGTCATAAAAATTCGCGCGCGCAGACTCCCGGGACCAGCATAGATATTCACTTTTATCCTTAAACGTTGTTTAAGCAGCCGATTCGAATTATTCTTAGGGGATTAACACGACCTGGCTCGCAGTGTCCTCTTTCTCGTCCCCTTTCCCTTCCCTTTCATCCTTTCTCTTTTTCATCGCAATTCCGGGTCGCGCTTAAAGAGCCCATCGTAAAAGAGGTCCTAAATGGTTTGCATTTTCATGAATAACATTCGCGAGTGTCCTTTTATCGTTCTCCTTCACCTTCGTGATTCTTATCTTATTATCCATTCAGAACGTTCTATGGAAGATACAGCCGGATATTATAATATAGATAAAAGTAGGCGAAAGTAGAAGCCATAACATGCATGAAGAAACGCTTTCGTAAAGTGAGACAATAAAGATCGGTAATCTCAGCATTTCTAATTGCGCTTAATCTTGAATCTGTTAATTTTTTTCGCGTAAGACAGTGTTTTTAATGGATATTACAGTGTCAGAAGAAAATGTAATTAGAACGGAGAAATTTCTCTCATGCTTCAAATATCCCATCCATCTCCTTACTTTCGGACAAGCGCGACATTCGCGTGATATTCTCCGTTTGTCAATATTCTTCGTGCGAGATCTTGCCGGCGGCAATAAGAACTGACGGCCCCGCTCTATCATGCGGTGATTAAAGAGACGCGCTATTAAGCCGGCCGCGAAACGATCACGATTGACGACTGACGAGGGTAATTAATGGAATGATATGAAACGTTAGTGCGGATGAGGGTTTCGACGGGACGTACCAAACAAACGTGGTGGTCACGCATAACGGCAGTTGCCTGTACGTCCCTCCGGGCATCTTCAAGAGCACATGCAAGATAGACATCACTTGGTTCCCCTTTGACGACCAACACTGTGACATGAAGTTCGGATCCTGGACCTACGACGGCAACCAGGTACACTACTGTCTCCACTTACACACCGACACACGCTCAATACACACCGAGAGCACCAAGATTATTATCGATCCCTTAAATTCTTCCGAATGAGCTACACGCGCTTTTACTCGGGTAAACCGGAAGCGAAGGGTGAAAGAGAGCGAAGAACCATGAAATGTGGCTCTCGTAAGTGCAATCGATGTGACCGCCGTGCGATGCGACGAAAGAAAAGATCTCACATTTTTACGGTTTACAATCTTCGGAAAGTCTGCCACAAAATTTTCATTTATCATATATGATGATAGCAATATATGATGATATAGGGTAATCAGAAAATTTCTGATTATCCTATCGATGCAGATTTTCCGAAGAATTTAAAGTCAATTTGCATTTAATGTTTCTTTACTGCAAATAAAATCGATCTTTTTACAATCAATCGTGATAATATATGTTGGCTGATGCAAAGTATAAAGCCATTCCAAAATTAATAAAAATTTATAAATTTTTTCTTTCTTTATTTAATATCTTATTAACTCATCTATCGCTCGAATCTATATATATATATATATATAAAATACAAACGGTTATAATTACAGATAAATGAATATTTAAAAATATATATTTATATGAATAATTTTTACATTTTTCTAATACGCATATTTGGGAATCAATAAATAATTAGTTCATTGTCGAAATTGCAACGATAAAAACGTGTCTCAATCGCAACTCTCGCCGCTTAATTACCATCCAATTACCAATTACGGGTGCACGCCTCGTTCTCGTTTAACGAGCTCGCGGCCAAATTTCCATGCAGAAAACTGTCGAGAATTATCCCATTGGCATCTCACCGTTTCACAGCGCGTGAAACGGGGATTCTCGTGAGATCCTCGGCGCTCTATCGACGTCGCAAATGGAGCCACTTTCATTGTCCGTTCGCCATCAGAGATCCCTTGCTGCCATGAAAGACTCGACCTGCCTCCTACCTCGTCCCAGCCGTGACCAGAAAAACCTTATCCCGCGCCCGTGATGGGCATCTCGCGGCTTCTTCTGTCCGACACAAGACTCACGAGTGCAATACACAATAGCGATGCTCCATAGATAGCCGTTCTCACGCTTCGTAGCTTCAGCTCGGATCTATATACATATAATATAGGCATATATGTACATATATATATATATATATATATATATATATATATATGATATATAGCATTACATGTTACACACGTACGACACACGTATCACACGCACCGTTTTCTGTAATGTGTGAATTAGATCGAGTGCCGCGTGAGGAAAGAGATGAAGTAAAATAGGGAAGTGTCAGGGATACCCAGCACTCCAGAAGAGAACATTCGTCGCGAGAATTGCGAGTATCCTGCCGTGTTTTCAACGTTTTTCGCTACTTTCCATTTGAAAATTTGAGTTGGATCTTCTTTCGAAACATTTTTCGTGATATATCCGTCGTGGTAGAAGAAGAACGTCACTTTACAAACATCAGCCGACATCACCGATTATTATTTAATATCCTTCGACAAAAGTATAATGAATTTTACATATTTTGTTGCGCAAAATAGATCGAGAGCACTTATTCATGCACACTATTTCATGCACACGGCGTAAATTATGCAACATGCGAGATGTCGATTAACGTGCGGAAATATGCTGATGGCGCACGGCTTAAATCGTTGGATTCGATCGTGCCCTGTTCAATTATTTCCAAATTGCGGGTTACTTGAGGTGATCAACGTTAATGGAGCGATTTCCTCGCACTATTATGGAAACGCTATTTCCATGCGTCGAACCGACGGCATCAATTCTATAATGTTCAGAAAGCACATGGTTACCTCTGCTCGATCGTAATTACTTTGTCGCATAAATTTCTTAACAGTCTATGAACCACATTTATTACTTCTCACTGTTAGTTACATTTAACGTTTCCTAGAGAAATGATCGAAATGAAATGTAATGTTTTAATATGACATTTTGATAAAAAGGTTGAGAAAATAAAATTAATTCGTTTAATCATGTATGATACAAGAGATAACTAAGTGATTAGCTTGCCTCGCACGTCGCTTTATTTTACGTATAAACGCGAGCTTACTTTTTAGATGTAATTTTGTAACGTGGCTTTCGAGTGCCGAGGATGAAATTTTGTTAAACTAGCTATATTCGATTATATCTGAATTGCGGATAACCCGTGATGACCATAGTTAATGGAACGATCTCAACATTCTCGTAGAGAATTGTGTCGCAGATATTTCAACGTGCGTTGTCAACGATAATTATATCCGCGGCGCTAGATAAATTACCGTTGCCTGTTTCTAAAACAAGCAATTCGCTACACGTACAATACATAATGTACTTTTCCCAATCTCGTATTACAAGATAATTATCCTCAACGGTATCTCCTATAACGTTCTTCGCGATAATAATCGCGACATTTACACTCGGACATTTCCGCGCCGAAGAAAATTACGTAGAGGATCTCGTCGGAAAGAGAAAGATATTCATCTTTGCTTCTTTGTCGTGACTTAATCGCCCGTAAGTTCTCTCATCAATTATCAAATTATCAATTATCAAACTTCTATGCAAAATCCTCATTTAATTCCGAGGCTGCATAAGTTCTCTAATATCTACTTAATCTCAAATTTGAACCTGGCGGTCTGCCAACGTGTGAATAATTTCAAGTTTTAGGTTCGTACAAGCTGTCGTAATTTTTGCACGTTCAACTATCAAATTCGCATTGATATAAAACGCCGATAAAGTTTGACGGGATGCAGGCCGGCGCAGTCTCTCGGTAATTCCGCTTCTCTCCATTACGTAAGCGATAAATTTTGGCACTGGCATCCTCGTGTCGTCGCAATGTGTGTAGTAGAAGCCGTGTTTGTACAGCAGATATTAGGCACATACGGCCAGGCGTTGCGCCTAACTCGCGACGTCGAGTTTGTCGAGCTCGTTCCCACGGCGCGTAGTTTGCAGGCCGCATATAAACGCCAAATGTTAAATTCATTTTACTTACGACCCGGCCTCGACACTTCGCCACGTCCGTGACAGTTTTCAACCTCTCGAGACCCTCGCACAAAGAACTACTCACGATCAGAGAGTAGAGGCACGCTAGTTCATTCTGTCGCTCGAAATCACTCCTTGACGTATAGAATTAATGAAAATCAACTGGAATTTGATATTTTTATTGTGCGTAAATCTGCCTGATTTAAAAAGAAGCTCCGTTAGTCTGCAATCTAATGCATTTCATAATTTTAATTTAATATCAAACTTTTGAAATTATTTTATTTAATGCTTTGTTCGATAACGATGCATGAAACCACAGTCCCTTGATTTAGAAAAATCTTATCAGATATATTTAAATACGATGCATAATTTATTAACTTTTGACATTCTCATTTTAACAGTCACTTAGTGATGTGATAGCAGAAAAATTATAAGTATTATTATCCTTTCACGACAGGATGTTTCATATAAGAAAGTTTATATCTTCTGACATATGAAAAGACATCTACTACACATTTAACATGGACTGTCCGATACTTTCATTGCGATATATTTTACGATTTGCAAGCAAGAATAATTTATGATAACGATTTATCGACGCGTGACACTGGTGAATTATATGACGATTGGTAGTGTTGGATCATAAAGCAAACTGAAAAGTGACAAATCGTGATTTTCCGTTTGTCGCTAATGCACCGTATCGTAAAGCTCAACGAATGTTCGCTAACGGATGGATAACGCACTTATCAGGGCAACAGAATGAGCTAAAATGAGAACAAGTATCACACATGCATACGCGCATCTCCAACCGTATATAAAATTTTTAACGAATCATCAGTAAATTCATTGTTACTATTACTGTAATTTAAAAGAGATATTTTTGTCGAAGCAAAATCAACCAAATCGAAATCAATCATCCACCAACTAAATCAATCATCATACATACATATACACACATATATATTTTATTTATTTGAATATTGTTGTTTAAACAACCGAATAAATTATTGCCACAAAGTATTGAAATTTAAAGTAATGAAAAATGATACATAATTTTTACTCTCTTTTACGCTTATGTTGTATTTTGTGGTAATTTCTCGATTCATCGACGTTATTGATTTTAATAACATCAAAATCATTAAGCGCACGTGGCGGCTTTGTCGCACGCTTTGATGATAAATAAGGTGCATGCTTTAGCATTCTTATAAATTGCGCGTCGAACTATTTCCTCGCTGTCACTGCCGATAAATTTATAAACACTCCGTCATTCTTCTTTGTTCTCCTAGCTTTAATACGGCCGACGTCGATAAGACTAAAAAACTGCCATTGCTTTTCAGACGGGGCTATCTCACGGGCAATAAATAATCCCCGTATTTCCGCAAAGCAGTCGTGGTTTCATCGATTTCCAGACGGCATTTGGTCATTATTTGTCTAAATGCATGTGAAGTTCCTCGTGTCATTTCGCGTAACATCCATCTATCCCTTAATTACGGCACAGATAGAAATTTACCGTAGTATATATAGGTTTCAGATATATTTCAGACATATTTCAGCAATTTAGATATTCACAAGTCAATTATTTGTCTTTATAATTCGTAATTCAACTAACTTGATAGAATAAAACAATAAATACATTTCAAAAGTTGTATTCACAAATCGATTTTTATTTGTAAACTGCGCAATTTCCGTAAGAGATCTTTTACAATAAATAACATTTTTAGTTAGATCCGTGGAGGTTTTAAGCATTTTTACGTTGCAATGATCATGTCGCGCACGTACTCTTTAAGAAACGATCGAACTTAATACAATTTACATGTCCGCAGGTAAAATCAGTTTTCCAATAAATTTCACGCTTAAATAATAAATAATCTCTCTACTTTTATACCTCTTTCCCTCCGGTGTTTCGACATCATAATATCGTATATAATAAATTGACGGTAAAATGCTTGCGTATTAGTTCATCGAACTTTGTCACCGACCGAAAGGCAAACTCGATAATAATGGAATCT